AAAAATAAGGATGCCATTGGTAAATATTGCTACTCTTGGAACATGAGTTTTTCACTGGAAACCCAAAATTTATGTAATTAATTCTTGTGTCTCCTTTTCTGACATAATGTAGGGCTGAATCAGTCAGCTCCCTGGCAGCCGACTACTGAAAGCTTAGCCTTGCTTGGTCTGGGGGAAAGAAGCAAACTGGAAAGAAGCAGAAATGTACATGTTTTCAATAAATAAATACATAACTTTTGGTCAAAGTGCAATTTGACTTAATACACCTCCACACATGTGCTCCCCTGTACAAAGCCAGTACATACGTCTGTCTGATTTCCAGTTTATTTTTTTCCTCCACAGCTATTTTGTTTAGCTCACAGCTAACCTTTAAAGTTTCAGTTTGATGGTGAGAAGAATGACGAACATCTGATGAACCTGAACGTTAGTTTAAAAAAAATTGATTATACTGCTCAGCTAGTTCCGCATCATTGTTACAGCAGCTGAAGTTTCAGCAAGTTTTAAAATACGGTTAAAAAATTGATCTTTTGCAACTTTTCAGCAGGGTGTCTTAATTGTCTCTTTTGCAAGAAATCTAAACTTGTGTGAAACTGGTCTTTAGGCAGTGTCGTTAGACAGCTTTCAAGACAATTCAGTGTTAGTTATATAGGAAGGGTCTCTAATCTTAACTCTGTATGGTGTAAGCCAGGGAGCTCGGGAACATGAATGAGCCCTACTTCACAGCTTCCAGCTACCTGCAGCCTGTGGAGGAATTAAGTCGACAGATTGTTAGCTAAGTAGCTGAGCAGGTGGAAAAATATTAATCTGAGCAGACATTATGCTGTAATGTACATTTTTCTAATTATTACTAGTAGTAAAAATCGTTGTTGCATTTTACATAACTGAATTATGAATGACCTAAAGTTAGAAACAGTGTAGATGAGTTGTTAATATCCTCATGCAAATAAAGGTATTGCATGAAGTGCAATGATTGAAAATATAAAAAGAGGAAGTGCTGAAAATGTTGTAGTGTTTCCTGATGAGGAAGGGAAATTATCTGAGTATGCTTTAACTGCCTGTGTACCGAATTTGAAGGTGTTAAAGCCTGTGCCTTTGCTAGTTTGTTTTTTAAGCTGATCAGAGTAATCTTAGCTTAACACAGCTGTAACTTTCTGTCTGTGAATACAGCAGATTCCTAGCAGCTGTGTCCAGAAAAGCACATTACAACTCCCTAGACCAAGCCCTCCTTCTCCCGTGCGATGTAGGCCAAGCAGTCCCACACTCTGTAAGAATACGTGCCCCAGGCTCTGCTCTCCCCAGGTTCCTGGGAGCGAGGGCTCCAGCCTGCTGTCCAGGCTGGTCCTCCTGCAGTCTCCAGCACCACGTGGGCTCCCACTTGACCACCCTGCGGGTGGGCACCCGAGTGTGGCTGAAAGCTCCTCAGCTGGACACACCAAGGCACACGTACGCTTTAGCTTCACTAGCCAGCAGGCAGCCCAGAGTGCCTGGGGAGCCAGCACTGGCCGTGCCACGCTGCTGGTAAGCTGTGGTTTACTGAGGACAGGAGCGTGCAGGAAAAGCTCCAAGAGCATGGGGCAAGATATGCTTACACAAGCTCGCAGGCTCGGGTTCACCTGCAGTATTGACATACCCCAAGAGTCTAAAGCGTCACTGCTGCAGACCTTGGCGGCTGGCAGGAGTGACGAGCCTGGGGAGGTGCTGTGAAAGCTCCTCAGTGGCTGTCAGGTCCGGGGCTGTGCAATCAATCAGGGAAACCGTCTGGAATGTAGGGCATTGGGACAGCTGCACCAGGCCAGGCGAGGAGCTCAGGAACGCCGCAACGCTTTGAATTTGGAAACTGTGACAGATACTTGTGCTGGCTGGTATCAGGGCCAGGAGGTGGAGCCCAGCTCGCTGGCTGTGTTAAGTGTTACTGAGCGTCGGGGAGGGAGACAAGGTGCATCTGACTACGTGTGAAATTTTGGAGGTGTGACATTGGAGAAAGAAGGGACCAAAGTAATCTTAGACTTGAGAAAGCAGGTAACTTTTAAAAGTTTATAACTTCTAATTTTAGAGTTTTAACTTTAGAAATGCTACTTTAATTTTTCTGCCAATCGATATTGATTTTAAAAGATTTAATTTTCCCATTAAAAAGAGAATAGAGAATTCCAGTGCAACTTCCATTTTCATGATATCTGCCCTGGGGAAAGACAGAAGAGCTTCAGAATTTCATACTCTTGTTAGTGTATTTCTGTGTTAGAAAAAAGATGGACATTATTAGGTTTATTTAATTCTAAGGAAAAAAAATATAAATAATATAAATATGGCAAACATCAAAAGAAATGAGACATGTATTTGCCTTTTTATTGCTTCCTGCCTACAGTAATGACCTGTTCCTCATTTCAGTTCTCCTCCCCTTTTAAAATTACAAAATATTGTCTCCTATACATAAAAATGTTAATAAAAAAGGCCAAGAAAGCCTATCATACCATATGTCATATTTTACATCTTCCATTTTTTCTTCAGGGTTCAGTACCATATTGATGTATGCCAGAAAAGCCTAGTAACCGGCCGTGACATGACAAAACAATCTGTTTATTATCAGAAGTTCACCGACTAACCAATCTTAGTTTTACAATCATTTCTGTCTAATGATACTGCTTATGAATAGATGGGTAGGGAAGGCTTAGGATCAAAGAGTAAACCGCAGATTTCACAATGTTTTCTTGGCAAAACAACATGTTGATTTAGCTACTGCACTGGAATCTGCAAACCTTCATTGTGGTTTTCCTGGGATTACTTTGGCTACCATTTTCTTTCCTGTCTTCATATGACAAATCTTTGTCCAGGACCGGTGATCTGAAGTTGCTTTAGTCTGGCTTAGCATTTTAATAGAGCTGAGAGCTTTCCTTAGAGAATCACGCAGCTCTTTTCCATAGGAGTATTTCAGGACCAGAAACAGTCCAATTTTAGACCTCAGAGCAGGTGCTCAAAAGCTTGTTTACAAAGGAGGGGGTGGCCAGGGTGTTGATCTGGGCTGGGATTTTGGGTGCCGCTCCAAAGCAGCTGTATCAGCACAGCAGCTGTTTCCACATCCCTCCCCAACCATCCATGCCCATCCATGCCCAAGGCAGCCACCACTTATGGACAAGGCAGCAGTATTCAGGCTGGGAATGCTGGGCTGGTGAGTCCCACCAGTGATTTCTGGATAGTAGGGGGCTTTTTTCTATGCTGCTCTGCTGGCTGCAGGAAGCCTGGGATTTGAGGACAGACTTGCCAGTTGTCCTTCTGGCATCCCATGATTCCTCCATCCTTTGAGAGCCAAGTCCTGGCAGTTAGCTTGGAGAGAAATTGCTTTGCACCACAGTGCCAGTAACGGAGAAGCAGCTGCACGTGTCTTAGACAGGTGTACTCTGCGCTGGGTGAAAAACTGGCTGGACGGCCGGGCCCAGAGAGTTGTGGTGAATGGAGTTCAATCCAGTTGGCGGCCGGTCACGAGCGGTGTCCCCCAGGGCTCAGTTTTGGGGACGGTCTTGTTCAATATCTTTATCAATGATCTGGACGAAGGGATCGAGTGCACCCTCAGTAAGTTTGCAGACGACACCAAGTTGGGCGGGAGTGTTGATCTGCTCGAGGGTAGGAAGGCTCTGCAGAGGGACCTGGACAGGCTGGATCGATGGGCCGAGGCCAACTGTATGAGATTCAACAAGGCCAAGTGCCGGGTCCTGCACTTCGGCCACAACAACCCCATGCAGCGCTACAGGCTTGGGGAAGAGTGGCTGGAAAGCTGCCTGGCGGAAAAGGACCTGGGGGTGTTGGTCGACAGCCGGCTGAACATGAGCCGGCAGTGTGCCCAGGCGGCCAAGAAGGCCAATGGCATCCTGGCCTGTATCAGAAACAGTGTGGCCAGCAGGAGTAGGGAAGTGATCGTGCCCCTGTACTCAGCACTGGTGAGGCCGCACCTCGAATACTGTGTTCAGGTTTGGGCCCCTCACTACAAGAAGGACGTTGAGGTGCTGGAGCGTGTCCAGAGAAGGGCAACGAGGCTGGTGAGGGGTCTGGAGAACAAGTCTGATGAGGAGCGGCTGAGGGAACTGGGGTTGTTTAGCCTGGAGAAAAGGAGGCTGAGGGGAGACCTCATCGCTCTCTACAACTACCTGAAAGGAGGCTGTAGCGAGGTGGGTGTCGGTCTCTTCTCCCAAGTAACAAGTGATAGGACGAGAGGAAATGGCCTCAAGTTGCGCCAGGGGAGGTTTAGATTGGATGTGAGGAAAAATGTCTTTACTGAAAGAGTGGTTAAACATTGGACCAGGCTGCCCAGGGAAGTGGTTGAGTCACCATCCCTGGAAGTATTTAAAAGACGTGTAGATGAGGCGCTTAGGGACATGGTTTAGTGGGCATGGTGGTGTTGGGTTGACGGTTGGACTCGATGATCTTAGAGGTCTTTTCCAACCTTAATGATTCTATGATTCTATGATAAAGCAGGTGCTGTGCCATTCAGCATGTCTGGCTGCAAGTAGAGGAGGAAGAAATCATGGAGCTCCTGGTGAACCAACTCTTCCTGGATTAACTTTACCTGATGAAGCTTTGTTGATGACCAAAGTGAAGAGGTAGCCAAAATTCTAAGATGGCAAAAGTAATCTAGAGATTTACCCAAGCATCACCCCTAAGGCACAGCCACAGCACACCAGTGTGAGGACCTCCTCGGCATGCAGGGTGGCTGGCCCTGCAGCTGGAAGTTTGCTGTCCCACAGTCACTATTAGGGGTAGCAAGGGTATTAGTCCAAGCTAACCAATTTGTAAACTTAGGATCTATTCCTCAGCCTATTGCCAGAGGGGTGTGTACCGCACCAGAAGTAGCTGGTGGCATGGATCTGCAAGCATGGAGGTCACTGGTAGCTTTGCAAGTCTGAGATTCCCAAATCTGGGAGAGTGGCATGCACACGCCAGTTCAAAATAATATTTATTTGAATCCTGCCTTGTTTTCTGCTTCACTGGCAGACAAAGCTTTTCACGGTCACTTGGGTTGCAGAAAGGATTTATTTAACTTGTGAAACGCCTGGAGGTCTTGGAGATGAAGAGGTGCAATGCTCCTGCCTATTAATTGGTCCTGGCATCGGCAAACGGTTTGAGGAGAGAGCTATTAAGTGTGGCTGAAGGGCAGAGCTGGAGTTCTGCAGTAGGGTGCTCTGTGGCGGCATGGCATAAAGGGAAGGCCTGTGGTGTAGGGATGTGTGAAAAAATACTGTTGTGAGAAAATAATGCGAACAATTGTGGGGCTGTGGTTGGCCTTGAGGTTACGGGGCTGGGTGGGAACATGGCGATAACGCCACATCAGCTCTGAGAACTCTTTTTGCAGGTACCTACCTCACTCTTTTGCTAGGTTAGTGATTGCACATGTTGTCTCTGCCATTCTGCAAGAACAACTCCCTTCAAGTCTTCACCTGTGTGGCCAACAAGAGCTCAAACAACTTTTATTTCTTTGCTTCTTATTTCTCCCTGAAGAGAAGAACCAGACAAACACCAGCAGACTCTGTCTCTGTCTCCCTTGGTTAGGCACTGGTTTCATGGTGTCTCGATACTGTAAGTTCTGTAAAAAAAGAAATAGTTCAGTGTTTATAGCAGCAGTGATGCAATGTTCATTCTTCTCAGCTCTGCAATTCACTCCCATAGTCGTCTCCCAGGCTTGGGAGATGAGAGATACTGGGCAGAAAAATTAGACGCACACTTTCTGCACAGGAGCACTATTGGCATGGGCCTTGTTTTGAGGTGCTTACAGCGGTGAATGGCTACTGGGATGAGCAGGAAGAGAGGGGATTTGCACGGGCTAGGAACATGGGCTGGCCAAGTGAGGACCGGAGTGTACAGGGGGATATGCAATACTAGTTGCAGGGCCGAATCAGTAAACATGTTATGGATGTTTTGCCAGGTGGCTTTTGTGCTTAAGTCAAGTACACGCACTCTGTAATCCCAGTGCCTCCCTGGCTGAGCAGGAGTGAGCACCGAGCATGCAGGTGGTGGGATGGCACCCAGCCCCAGCACTGGGCGTGTGGGGACGAGCACGACGTTTGGCTGTAGAGGATGCCCCATTTCATTCCCCGTGACAGGGCCTGCACTCATCCTGCCGCCTCACCGCTGCAGACGGACACCCAGGGAAGCGTTGCTGGCCTGAGCAAAGGGTTGGGACGTGCAGCGTGCGGGGCCAGAGGAAAGGGGGATCTACACAGTGAGCCAGGAGGCAGTGAAAATGGAAAAGATGAATAGAGGTGTCTGGGGAGAGGGAGTACTGGTTTTCCAGGGCCCTTCGCTATTCAAGTGCCAGCGCACCAATCTGTGTTGCAGATGACATTTCCTGGTGCGGCTGCCATTTCAAAGAGGTGATGGGAAGAGGAGAGGCTGAAAGGGACCGGTCCTGGAAAACTGCCTTCCACCCTAAATGCTTGTACCTGCTGATTATCCCAGCAGACCAGCTCAAGTCAATGTGACCCACAGGGCTTTTGGCAGGATGATGGTGAAAGTCTGTTCAAAGTCAAGGGAAGGATTTTACCAAGTTTTGGTGTGTTCTCTGTATTTCTTTGAGAGGTCTTTTATCACGTGAAGAGACTTTGCTGTACTTTCATCCTCATCTAAATCCAGCTTCCTCTTTTTAATGCTATTTCCATATACCTCTTCCTTTTCACTTACTGCACTTTAGCGCTTTTTCCTGGCATGCTCAAAAAGCAAATTCCTCAATAGCTACTGAACTCACTCTTCTGCTCTTCCTCACAAATTTCTGTTAACGTCACCTTTCCTTTTGCTCAGTACCAACTGTTGTTTGTAATCTTGCTGAATGGCTTCTGTCATTACGTTTTGTGCCTACTTGCGTCAGGATCTGCAATGATGTTGTCACTCAGCAACACCTCTTTCTTTTTGAAGCTTTCAGTCCACTAAAACTTTTTCTAGCAACATCAGAATCTGTTCTCCCTCCTTGTGCTGAGAAGGATTTGTTTCATCTCTGCTCCATTTGTTGCACAGCTCTTCATAACGTTCCTTATGTTGCTTATTCGTTGTCAGTCACTAGCTTGCACTCGTCCTCGTCTTAACTCAAGTGTCTAAATTCTCTCTTTTATCCAGTGATACAAACCCCATATTGCATTCAGGGTTCTTAATGTTATTCACTGTTTAATGTTGCTCTCTTCTCTCTGATCAGCGATGAGGGTAAGGGACAAGCCGCTTGGACTGTCCTCTCCCTTCGTATTCTTCTTCAGCTTCCTGCTCTTGGTTGCTGTGGCTCATCTCCATCTCTTCATTCAGCTCCAAGCCCTTCCCCAGACTGGTTAGGATAGGTGTCCATTAGCAGTAAATAGCTACTAAAAGAAATAATGGACTTACTTTGTTTTTGTTTTCTGTGTGTATGAACTACTTGAAAACCATCTGGGTTTTGCTTAATTTTAGAAGAATCCGGTAAGGAGTTAAGACGCTCCCCACAGCAGAGGAGAATTCTCAGGAGCATACTGGCACACAACTTCCCAAAATAGTTAATGTCTTTATTTGGAGGAATGCACTGACCCATTTAGGTGGCACACCGCATCGTTGAAACATGTCCGAAAAGTGCCTGACGGTGGTGGTATTCAAATTCAACACCACCAGAAAAACACATGAACATCGGTGGATGCATGCCAAAATTTTCATGCAGGCTTCTAATTTTAGGTTTTAACCTTTCCAGTGCCCTGAAGATGCCTTCAAAATCTCCAATCACTGACCTCTTCAGAAAATATTGGCCTAAATGCTTTACAAGTACTTTATATTGTTAGAAAAGTATTAACAAAGCTTTATAGAAATGAGTAATCTTTAATAATTGGCTTCAGCTTCTCAGGCAGCGTGCACCTGCTTGTTTTGAGAGAAATGCTCAGCGCAGCTTGAGAAGGAACAGCCAATCCCCCTGCTAGCAGAGGAATGAAGACCAATACGATGTAGTAGCAACTCAAGTATCCTTAATTTCAGACATCCTCGGTGACGCTGGCTTTCAGAACTGGAAGTGCCTGGATATGACTGCATGCATACACGTGCACATTATGAAACAATTGATTGCTCACTGAGTATTTTTAATTAGTATTTTCCTTTTAAATGCTCCATTTACCCTCTTCACACAAGGTATTTTTGCCATGTGCAGTTTTTATTGGAGTAAACATACTCCCTTCAGACAGCTCCTTCAAGCCAACTCAGAGATATCTTGACCCTCTTTTAATTTTTTTCCTTCCCATGACTCATTCCTTTCATCCCGCTTATGTTTTCTGAAGTGAACTCTACATAATCATATTGACCCCAAGAGTTACAGACTCAAAGGCCTCGGGCAGATGAGAGGATATATGAGATAAGAGATCTATTTTAAGCAAAACATTTTTCTTAGGCCATACACTTTTTAGATTTAATGTCTTTGTAACAAGTAACGCTTCAGGTTATTAATCTTTTTTATATTCAGTGGGTGAAATAAGTTATTGCAAGGCAACTATACTATCCAAGGGGAACTGTCTATTGATTTTCTCTTTGCTGTTTATGTGTTTTGGGGTCCTTCTTGCTTTTCCAGCCAGAGGATGAAAAATTGACTGAATGGTCTCACTTCTAATTAAATCTGTTAAGCAGTTCTGAGTTTTAGCTCGGCAGGAAAATGGTTGAAGGTTTCAATTTTTTAAGCTCTTCATGAAAACAATTTACATACCAAAATCAATTGACATTTTCAGTCTATTTTCAGAAATTAGCCTTTCAATTAGTAATTCTAACTGTTTTGCAAAGCTGGAATGTACCTCACCCCAGGGAAAAGCGGAGCTCGTTTAGCTTATGAAAATCTGAGACGGGTTTGCTCCAGAGAGGATCAATCTGGGAGTCTTAAGCAAATGCTGCTCTTCTAATAGTTTCAGTGAAGGAGCGCTATCAGCTACTGCAAAGAGCACAAGGCTGCGTACGCTTCCTGCGGAGGGCCTAAGGAGGCAAGAGGAGGAATATCCTGAGGTCAGCAGATCGTGTAGGTTCACTAAAAGGTAAAGATGTATTATGCCTGGGGTTGATATCTAACATTTAGGAGAGCAAAGTAGGTGGCAGCTAATAGAAGAATTGCTATTTCTTCCTTTCCCTCGGCAGTAAGGGGCAGGAGGTAGAGGTCATCCTTCTAGGAAGGAGAACGCAGCCAGTTACCTGCTTACATCAGCTCCATGGCGTTGCATAAGGCATCATTTAGTCCCTGGTAATGAACTTAATTTAAGCATGCATGTCCCTGCCCTTGCCTCGCTACTCTGCATTATGGACTTGCAAGTTTGCTTATGCTAAAGGGCAGAGCAAAAATAAATTGCCATACTCCCCGGCATGTTCCATCAGCCTGTGTTGGAGCATGGGCTGGTGTCCAAATAGTTTGGATATGAAGTGAATTTGGGCTCCAGGACAGGCTCAGACCTGCTCTTGAAATTGCACGGCGATGACACCAGGGTCCTACTTTTATATTTGCAGTTGACTGGCTGCCACCGCTGCGACCTCCAGCTGCGACAGCAGTGCTTTTCGCGTCCCAGCTGAAAACTAACCTTGCCTTTCTCCAGTTAGCAGGGAAAGGGGTGCCCCTTTTTGTGTTACTGTTGACCAGGAACTGGTGAAAAGCTTTGTCGGTTGGAAACTCGATATTAATTAGGTGAAGCTGTAGCTCAGGTAGACAAAAATCCTCTTTTGACTTTTTTGTGTACACTCATCTGTATTTTGGTCGTGCAGGCTGAAATGCTGCACAGACGCCTGGTGTTTCAGTCTTTAGACCTTTAGTCTGGGAGATGGCTCTTGTCGAGGGTTTTTGGTTGGGCTCCCCAGAGCTGGCGCAAAGGAGCGTCACCATGAAAGGTGCCATCCCAATGCACCACTTCCTCCTCACCTTAAACTTTCGCATGCTCACGATGAGGGTCCGGTCAGGAATCCCCGGGTGTACGTATCCCCCCACGGTCCCAGCAAAGGGAAGGCTAACGGTAGGGGCTCACAGCGACAAAAGCTGCTGGCTTGCAGCGCCGTTGGTGCCAGGGGCTTTCACGTCCCCGGTTCCTCCCGGGACGCTGCCGCAGACGAAATCTGGCGCCGACCTTGGTTCTTC